TGAATTAAGCTTCTTCAGAACCATGGCCTAATCCCATTTTGTATTTTTACCCCTACCACTAGTTTCCAAGTGCCCCTTTGCCCCTTGGAAAATAGTTGGGATAGTGCTTGAAATCTTCTGTGAAGTGTGACAGCCCTTCAAGACCCTAATTAGTTATCAGTAGTTGTTGATAACAACAGTCCCTCTGTCTACAGTCTCCACTCTGTAGCCTCACTCAATGTCCAACAGCACTTTCTGATTAGTTAGACATCATGAGAAACAGACTATCACCACTGAAGGCTGCCATTCCACAGAATGTGGTGATAGGTCGCTTTTTCACCAAGGTAAGAAAAAATCCTTACCATCACAACCCTACCCTGACCTGCAGCAGATAGAATATATTTCTTGGGCTGCTGTTTTTATGGATTCTGCATCACTGGCTTGCTAGGAGCAGCCATCTGAGGAGGTAGCTGCCAAGGGACTTTGAATGTCTGCACACCAATTGGCTGGGCCTCAAAACGGGTGAATGTGTGGCAAGCACAAGCCAAGCTGCAGAGCTTCTCCTTTTATGAACCGACAATAGTGCTGAAGCCAGAGGAACACCCTCTTTCTTGATGTTAAGTTTTTTCCATGTCTGAAAGCCCATCTGGCCTCTTTTGGAGGATGAAAATGCTGCTCTGGTTAGGTGATTGTGTGTCTGGTCAGTTGACAGTCCAATATTTACTAATAACCTACATTTGCTAAATGTACTAAAAAAGAAAATGTCAATGCATAAATACAAATTTGAAGAATTCTGAACACTTACTGTCACTGTCAGTGGTGCAGGATTTTCATCAGTATTGATGGAAAGCCTTGCCATGCCATTGGCTGCAGTGCGGCCCTGTACCTCACCCGGATTCACCTCCACTATAACACCTTCTTTTGGTGAGCCGTCAGGGTTCACAACTTCAACCTGCCATCAGAGAAACAGAGAGAATACTTGCAAACTAATGAAAGCAAGTTTAAGGAAGATCTAATACTATTATGAAAATACCATAATCATCTGCAAACTGCAGTACCTGTATTGAAAGAGCAGCCATATAAGTCATATTTTTATATAACTGATATATATATGACCTTAACCGTACAGACATTTAAGCAATTTACCAATAGGCTAAAGGACATTGCTGATTAAATTTTCTCTGCAAATATGTTATGACTGACATAATAGTGATTTCTGGTTTTCTAGTTTTTCTCAGAAAACCCATCTGTTTCATATCTTTGAAGAGATTGCCATTTATATCATAATCAAGATCCATGACAGATGCAGTCATGGTGGTAATAAGTGAAACAATGAAAGTTAAAAAAACAAAGAAAGTTTTAAAACTCAACAACATTCGAGAGGAGATTTATATCACATGAAAGACTACCACATCAATAAAAAGAAAGCCCGGTCTTTTATTGGTTATGAAAAATGTATTTGATATAGTCCTGTGTGGAGGACTGTGAAGGAACCCTACTGTTATTCTAAACTCATATGTGCACTTTACCGCAACATCAAAGGACATCCCTGGTTTGAAGTATTTGGGCGTTCTCTTGAAGTAGATGGTATAAGGTGATTGGACAATCTTGATACCTCTCAACTCTGCCTCCACCATTTCACTACCTGTAAGAAGACACAGTATCATGAACATGTACATAAGAAGATGCAAAGATGCATGCAAACACTAATTATTAAGTACAAGCATTTTTACTTATCTTTCCTCCGGTCTTGTTTAGCTTACTTCTAACCATGTAATTGAAATAAATAGTTCAGTTAATTTTTATTTAGATCACACTTTCTGTAACTAACTTCTCTCTACTTTACTCTTTACGTTTCAAGCTGTATTTCTGTATGTTATTTCACTAAACAAGCATTTATCCTTTATTAAACATTGACTAATAGCTGTAAAAAAAATGCAGTAATATATTTTAAGTATGCATAAAGTGCATGTTTAAAACTCTAACGTTAGCACAGAAAAAGTGTACTTAAATACACTTAATTAACATAATGGTTTAAAATGCATAGTCAAATGCACACTCTGTAAATGCAGGGAAGTATGTATTGACTTTTATTCATCACTAATGAACATGAAAGTGTAGTGCTAAAAGTACTGAAAATAAATGCCATTTTAGCATAGCACACACACACCCTTGTACTTCTTTCTTTATGAGGACCGTCATTGACATAATGCATTCTCTAGCCCCTTACCTTAATCTAAACCAATAACCACAGAACCAAGTCTTAACCTTCAAACAGGCATTTGAAGAAGCGAGGACTGGCTGAAATGACATTACTCTGTTGGTGGTGTGCTTCAGTCCTCACTATGTAGCAAGGACACACACACACACACACACACACACACATACACACAGTCTGCTTCTTACCACTCTCTGTCAGCACACCAGCAGCTACATATATGGAACTCCCCACCAGGTCGAAGATGTTTGGGAAGGTCTGTGTGATGTACTCTTTCTTAAGTATGACTTTTCCTTCACCATTCGTAATCTAATGTGACATATTATAAAAATGCATCTTGAAATACAGCAAGTGGACAGTTGCTAGGTACTAAATTTTGTGATGCAGATTTTGTGTCATTGAAGGCCAAGCTGTAAAGACAGTGGAGGTCTGTGCTTGTCTTTTTTCATGTGTTTTAATGCATGGCTGCAAAAGATAAAGAGCATGAGGGCGACAGATAAACACAGAAAAGATTAAATGACTGATAGACAGATGGTGATAGAGCAAATGTGTGAGCACTAACCGGCACTCTCTGAAGGGAGCTGGGCAAGCTCGTTTTATGACCCCCATGCACAATCCCAAATACCCCGTAGGCCATCCCATCTACGTTTACAACAAAAAGATACCTAAAAACACAAATACTCATAAGCAGTTTGTTTATTTCATAATAAGCCAAAACAGAAATGGTACTAAAATGGTACTAAATGGTACTAAAATGGTTACAGTTAAGTGTAACTACAAAAAATCACCCTGACAGCTTAACAAGAAGAAACCCCCCCCCCCCAAAACTTAAAGCAAACCTTTCCACTTAATCAGTCTACAAATCAAACCTTGTTTCTAAAGTCACAAAAAGAAAATATTCACTTACGTAGCTTTGATATCAACAATTAGTTGTCCACTGTCCACATAGAAGAAGGGGTTGTCAATCGTCAGTTTAACCTCAAAACTGGGCAGCACTGAAAAATAAAATGCATTTTATTGGCTCCAATCAGGCAGAAAGTAAAGACAAGTTGTATATGTTTTTAATAACAGATTAAGGGATAAAGAAGACCTTTGCTATGACTCACCATATTCTTTAACCTCAAATTCTGCAGAGTAAGTCAGCTGTGGTTTGTTGTGAAACCTTGCCACCACTTTCCACAGTCCGAAACTACACACAGACACACACACACACACACACACACACGTAATTAGCCTATGTCTTATACATGAACCTAAATTCTCAATACTTTCGATGCAGTCTTCATAGTAGTGTATATGCAGCGCCAACACTTGACTACACTCTTTTTTTTTTTTTTAAGATATTTTTTTGGGCATTTTTAAGCCTTTAATTGATAGGACAGACAAGCATGAAAGGGGGAGAGAGAGAGAGAGTGACATGCAGCAAAGAGCCACAGGCTGGAGTTGAACCCGGGCTGCTGCAGCAGCAGCCTTGTCATTGGGGCGCCTGCTCTACCACTAAGCCACCGACGCCCCAACACTTGACTACACTCTTGCAAGACTACTGACATCAACCTAAGCTGTATTTCATGTTCAGTGATAATAGATAAATCTTAGCATGCTTACATGCTAGACTAAGATGTGAAGTAAACATGAAAGGCTACCTGCTAAACATCACCATGCTAGCACACCTGTAGACTCTTATTAATGTAATACAGTTGAATCACCTATGCATGCAGGACACGGAAATTCATCACTAAAACGGACAAATTTATTCAACCTTAAGGAACTGAAATAAAAACAAACAAACAAACAAACAAAAAAGAAAAAACCATACCTGACAATTTCAGTGAGCTGGTAATCTCCAGAGTGCATCCCTGATTTCAGAGAGACCAGATCAATTGGTAAAATGATGCCGTCAGGGTTCTAAAATAAGACACAATTCAGCAATGGTTTATTAAATAATAAAATAAAACAAGTCGCTGGTTCCCAGATGGTGGGCTGCAGTCTAAAAGTGGGTTGCAGGTCCATTTTGAATGGACCAAAAGTGACTTGCAAACACACAAGTTTGTAAAAAGCACACTTTCTTTAGAAGTACAGTGAATTTCCAACATAGAACTTTTATTTTGAAGTGCCATTTCCTGCTGCAGAGTGAGTAAACAATTAACAGCCACTTAACAGAGACTGTAAACTAGCTTGATCTGGACCTTGTGGCTGGACCAGTCAGGAGCCACTGCTTTAGTGGTTACCGACCTCAGTGCCTTGTCACAATCACATTACTCAGATATGAGCAGGGGAATACTGTATTCGAGTACACCGATTTTGTATTGGTGGAAACAGCTGTTTCTCTGTTAAAATGACCAATGAGCGCCGTGGGGGGACTTGATTTGCCGATCAATACTATGGGCAGGGCTAACACTGTTATCTAGCTGTTGTCAAGCGTTGCGCCAGAACCAGTGAGGGGTGGCTAATAACAACATCTAGGCTGTTCTGAATTGACATTTCTTCTCCATTGCCTTCCATCGTAGTTTGTTTTACTTCACTCTACTCCACTCTTAAAATCATGATAAAACCAGTATGTTGGCATGGCTATGCATCAGTGTGGATGTGTGGATGTTTCAGAGGAATATGTTGGTCTCTAGTGATTGGTCAGGGAAAAATCGAATCCCCCTCTCCCATGGAAATTAGAGTGGACCTGATGTCAGACTGAAGATGGAAATGGAGTGTAATGAGTTGACAATTGACCCTTCGCTAAGCCCCGCCCCTTTGTGATGGTCTTTTAAGCTGTTGCATCGAGCATGGAGCCCACACTGTAACTAACTGCACTCCCTGAAGTAATATTATCACATTATTTGGAAAAACAAAAAAGCAAATTCCCAGAGAAGCAGACAGAGGGGTCTACAATATGTGTTTGAAGGATATATCCAGGCAAAAACAGGTAAAGGCAATAAATAGAGCTAAGCCCAATGTTCAGATCATAGTGTAAAGATGAACCACCACATCACCTGGTGATCAAGACAGAAGATAATGAATATTAAGGAAAAATTCATCAGTATCTAACCAGCTGTGTGTCATTGCAGTGTGTGCAGATGAACGGTGCTACCACCGCCAATGCCTGGACCTCCGCCACTGGATGGGCGGGGAGCTCCGGGGGAAGCCAAACCATGTGCCATCTGCACGCACTGCAATGACACACAGCTGGTTGAAAGTTGGCAAAGTTATCCTGCTTCCTTTCACTGGTTCCTGTAGAGCAAAGGTCGGTCTTTATTCACTGTTATAATCATTAACTAGCTAGCTAGCGACCCCTACACTTTTCAGGGTGTGATTTTGGTTTTGGAACACAGAAGAACTGTATATTTCCTTCCAACCTCGCCAGGTAATGAGTATCATTGATACTCGTGCCCCAGGCATAATATTTAGCTTAAAATCCACAAAACCAGCCTGAATATGACGGAAACCTGAAACTATTTGCTGTGTTGTTGTTGGATCCTTGTCAGAGTTGGTCGATACTATGCTTTGATCAGCCAGTCTGTGTTAGAGGGGCAGGACATGTGAAGGGTCAGTTCTATCAGGTAAGGTCTATCTGTCAGCTGGTTGGTCCACCACTTCAATCCAGTCTGAAATATCTCAACAACTTTTAGATGGATTGCCATGAAATGTTGTACAGATCAGCCAGAGGGATTCCTGGTGATTTCCTGACTTTCCTTTTGCACCACTGTGCAGTGGACATTTGTGGTTTGAGGTGAACATCCACTGGTTGGACTGTCATGAAATGTTAATTTCCTTAATTTTCGGTCTATATCTGACATCAGATCAAAAACACCAATTTGTCAGATATTTTGGTTTATAACCAAATACTTGCAAAAAATTGCCATCAGCCACAGGAGTGCTTTTCCTTTAGTGCTAATTTGTAAATGATAGCATGCTAACACCCTAAACTAAGATGAAAATTGAAGGTAAATGTTTGGAAATGATCTAAAATTCTATTGCATATAAAAGATAAAATACAATACCACAATCTCAATGTCAATAGAAGCATCAGCTTGGGTTTTGTTATCCCTCTCTACAGGCTCCATGCTGGGCGTCACTGCAAACATCCTGTAATGAACTGACAGAGAGACATTACTGTTCTCGTTAAAGTCTGAATGAAGCTTAAATTTATATATATAAAAAAAATATTAGGACAGAAGTGTTTTAACAAAGGTGGGTGTTTGTATTGAACTCACCTTTGCTGTTGGGGGTGTAGAGGGTCTTGTCTGTCTGGATGTAGATGTACCCGGACTGGAAGGACAGTAAGACAAGTTTCTCCAGCTCTATATCAGGGAACCGAGCCTTTATATAAACATACTGTTTCTTGTTGGGATCCGGACTGAAGTCTCCAGCAGGGATCTGAGAGACACAAGCAGTGTGTGAGGAGCAGGACGGATATATCGTGCATTTATAGATGCTAAATTAAAAATCTTGTTGTCTCCTCTCTTGTTTGTATCCATAATAGAAAACAATATTGCTTCACTAGGTGATGAATTCAGGCTTCTTAATATATAGTATTTTGAAAACAAAACCAAAACAGTGAGATGTATTTCAGTATTTCTACATTACCACAATTTCTCCGAAGCCTTGGAACTTTATTGCACTGGTAAGGGTCACAGATGTGGATGTCAGCCTTTTGCTTTTTGTTGGATAGTTTTCTACGAAGATTTCTACTTTGATGGCATCATCATCGGTGCAGTCTTGACACTCCACAAAGATGTTCACTGGTGTTCCTACCCGCAACAAGTTGGGGGCAGACATTATCTTCCTACACAGCAGTGGGAAAAATTATATGTAGAGTATAGTCAGTGCGTAGAAAGAACCACATGCTGTTTAGGATGTACTGAAACTTGCTGACAAACTGAGGAGTTATTTTGTTTTTCTCAGTGGTGGTTTGAGTTTTTTTTTTTTTTTTTTTTAAATTTGGTTATCCCAGTTTGCAACATATATTATTGCAGATGAGAATCTTCTGCTCTAGCATGGTCTTCACATATAATGAGTGATCCATTGGTTATCTTGGCAAAGATCCAGCGCTAGATCAACAAAACATTTCATAATTTACTGGCATCATTTGAAGGACCACATCACATGATTTACTGGAGCTACTCATTACATAAGACACCGGTGACATGTAACTTTAGACTAAGTTAAATAAATATTCTCTATCTGCACTCCGAACCATGTATCAGTATTTTTAATTGTTTGCAAATACTGGTAATACCTGGTCTTCTTCTTGCTCCCATTACAGTTGTTCTCAACTGCATTGTTACACTCTTAAAATATTATATACAATCATCATGTCCATTTAAGCTTTTGTTTGAGGTTTAAAAGGCTCTCTTAAAAACTCAGTCAAAGCCTGAAAGCAGTGTTTCAGTATTAAATAAATTCATC